TACAATTTGAAGTTCCTTCTTTTTGTAAATTGGAATCCCTTACTATCTTCCTGTAAATATATCATAGTGGAAATATTAAGCTCAACTGATAGTGTTTTCTCTCTCTTCATAACATGTAGTTACCGTGAGCTACTAATAATAAATGAACTTTCTAATTTTTAGTTGATAATTGTTGCTTCAGACTACTTTATATCTCTTTTGTATTATGAATTACTTTTTCACATTCGTGAGAGCATTCTCTTTTGCATTTGGTGGCTTACAAGTGGCAACTAACGTACATAATAGACTGCTCAGCAAGCTTATCAATGCACCTGTGCAATTATTTGATCAGACCCTGGGCGAAAGAATACTTAATAGGTTAGAACACGATGTCTTCAGACCATAGCTGATTATTCTAAAATGAAATTTGTAGATTTCATGATTTATGATATTTTGTGCAAGTTATCGTGATATCTTTATACAATCGATGATTCTCTCCCATTTATTATGAGCATTCTATTGGCTAATTTCGTAGGCCTGCTGGGTATTGCAATCATTTTGTCTTATGTACATGTAGGTATTGATAGTTATTCTAAGATGGGATATGACACACTCTTCAGTCAACCTCGTGGATAAATTTGCTTCAGAGGAAATACTTTGTTCTCTGGTTACCATAAACGTTAAGATCTTACTGAAGAGGTTATGGTTGATAGTTGGTTTTATACAGGTATATCCTCATGACGACAAGTTCATCAAGAACTTCTATATTTCTGCATTCTTGTGTTAAAGTTGATAGTATGCTCTAAATGCTGCGTGTTTTGAAATGCTTTGAAAAATCAATGTAGGCGACATTGGAGAATGGCTTCCAAATGGAGCCATAAAAATTATTGACAAAAAAGATCTTCAAATTGTCTCAAGGAGAATAAGTGTAGGTGTGATAATAGGATCGCTTGTATTGGGTCAACACTTTTGCAATGGCCATTGCTAAAATGGATTGAATTTGGGAGAAAATTATAAAAGAAGAATGGAGATCCACACAGAAAAATGGAGGATAAGAACAAGGGGAAACAAAGAAATACGTGAAATGTGGACTTTCTCACTGTTTTAGAAGAAGTGAAGAAATAGATTGTAGAGAAAAAAGAAGCAAGAGATGATACTTATGTTTATGTTTTCACATGAAAGCATGTTAAAAAGTAATCTATTAGTCCCTCATTCTTTAGGACACTCTCAAGTAAGTTTTTTAAGTGTATAAATATTAAATTTTACATATTACTTTTAATATACTAATGTTAGAGATTAAATTAATATTAAGAGGTTAAGTATAGAAACCAAATTGATAATTAGTAGTTTTTTTAGGTATGTTAGTCTTGGGGACGACGAACTTCTTCAATTCGGTTCTCAATTCTATTTTTTTCTTCCTTAAAATGCCTGTTAAGGTGCAGAAGAGGATTGTTAGAATAGAAAGAAGATTTTTCTAGGGGTTGAAAAGTGAAGATAGGATCTCCTGCATGAGTTGGATTGATGTATGTAAACCTAAGTGGAAAAGCAGTCTGAGTGTTCATGTTCTCAATATGATTAATTTGGTCTTGCTTGATAATTGGTGCTGGAGATTGTTCTCTTCTGAGACTCGGTTGTGTCAGGATATCTCTCTCATTGGGATTAATATATTATTTTTTATCTGTACCATACTAGCCATTAAGATTTGTCTTGCCGTCTATGGTCTTTGTAATAACTAATATGATTTATTATATATTATAAGTTCAATCTCCTTATTTATGTTGCAGGAGCTGCTGTAATATTTGAGCGTGCAAATAAGTTATATATCAAATGCAATAAAGGAAGAACTACGCGGATATGAAATATAGGTTGCCAATGCTGGTGAAGATAAAAAATCATAATCCAATTAATTATCTCAGTTGTTAACCATTGTGCGTAGATTTTGATATAATGCTTTATAAGTATAGTCATTTGTTTTATGTGTTTTTCCGGTGTGACATGTTTTATTTAGTTGATGATTCTATATTATGAGTCAAATTTTGACATATTATTTCTTCTCTCAGGATTACACTGCTCATTTTGCTTGGACATGTGCTATTGTGGCTGGATTTTCTCACGATTTTCTGCCATGATCCTTTTATACTGATCTATTTTTGTATTTTAGAGCATTCTTGTAATTCAAATAGTTTCAGAATTGAAATATCATCTTGTACACCTGTAAACATTTAATATTTTAGTGCTACTATATATCCAATTTAATAAACTTCTATGGTGTCTGATGATTTGCATTGAATTCACGCTTTTAATATTACTTTTGTTTTTTGCTTTAACTAACTTTATATTACTTTTTTGTGTTTCCACCTCTAAATATATCTTGAATTCACATGAAACCTTGTAGATTTATATTGTTTATACGCGGAAAATGGAGAACAACTGACTTCATCCGAATTCTTGGATACACTTCCTAAGCAGTGGAGAATGGAGACTTAAGCTCAACTAGAAGTCTTGTGTTTTAATTTATTATTTTATTACTTATTTTTTGTGATGTAATTGAATACGCACAATAGATTTATACTATAACTAAAAGACATGGATGTAGATGAATTTTTTTAATTAAAAGGATTTATCGGGATATTTTGACTTGAGATGCAAATTGGATAAATATGCAATTTTATAGAATCTACCTTATTTAACATTCATTCTATTATTTAACTAATAATCATCATTTATAGGTGGTTGAACATGCTTCTGGGATGAAAACTCTAAAAAGTCTCCTTCATTTAAATATGAAGTTTAGACAATGCACATGCTCATTTATCTTATACGTAAATTCCATTATTTAACTTGTGCTTAAGTTTTACATGAAGCTTAGTAAGAATATTTTATATTTCAAATATATCAATATATTTGAAATATAAAATATTAAAGTTAATAAATATTAATATATTTGAAATATAAAATATAAAATTTTACTATGCATTTTATTTTTGTATCCTGTACTGATACATAAATTTATATTTTATAACCTTTGATCTACAATAACTTGGCTTTTTAATTTACTTCTACTTCAATTTCAAGGAGAAACCGTCTACATTTTCTATTTATGTTTGTGCATTTTATATATTTATAAATGAGACCAAATATGTAAGAGTGCCACTGCTCGTGAAAATTAACTAGAATAATACATAGTTAAGAGAATATAAATTAATTTAACATCATCTAAATTCTATTTCATTTAGTACAATTATTTTATACTTTTCTTTTTTAAAATCTATATTTATTTTAATTTGTTGATAAAGAAAATATGAGACTTCTGGAAAAAAAATATCACGAAAAGAATAAGAAATAATGATTTGTTTACCTATAATTATATATATATATATATATATATATATATATATATATATATATATATATATATATATATATATATATATATATATATATATATATATATATATATATATATATATATATATATATATATATATATATATATATATATATATATATATATATATATATATATATATATATATATATATATATATATATATATATATATATATATATATATATATATATATATATATATATATATATGATGATTTCGATGATGAACTTAGTTATTTATTAAGATCATAATTTTTCTATTTTTTTAAAACACCAAATTAAAATAATTATAACGGTAACATGAAATTATTGATCAAAATATTAAATATTAACGAGAACGTGAACTTACTTATCAAAATATTGAATATTAACGAAAACACGAAGTTATTGATTCAAATTTTGAATATTAATTAAAACACGAAGTTACTGGTCAAAATATTGATAACGAAAAAACGAAGCTATGGATCAAAATTAAATATTAACGGGAACACGAAGATACTGATCAATATATCAAATATTAACGGAAACACAAAATTACTGATCAAAACTTTGAATATTAACATGAACATTAACTTACTTATAAATTTTTCGAATATTAAAGAAAACGTGAAGTTATTGATCAAAATATTAAATATTAACGAGAATATGAAGTTACAAATCAAAATTTTGAATATTAACGAAAACATGAAGTTATTGATCAAAATATTAAATATTAACGGGAACACGAAGTTACTGATCAATATTAACGGGGACACAAAACTAGTGATCAAAATATTGAATATTAACGATAATATAAAATTATTAATTAATATATTGAATATTAACGAAAAAAAACAAAGTTACTAATCAAAATTTTGAATATTAACGAGAATATTAAGTTAATGATAATTTTTTGAATATTAAAGAGAACATCAAATTATTGATTAAAATATTACATATTAACTAAAATATAAAATTACTGATAAATTTTATTTTTTAAATAATTTTGTCTTTATTTTATTTTATTTTTATTATATTTTAAATTACAGATCATAATATTGAATAATAACAAAAATATGAAATTATTTATCAAAATATTAAATATTTATAAGAACATAAAAAATTACTATTAAAATATTAAATAATAATAAATCAATTTTAATGTTTTTAATAATAATTTATAAAAAATATTTATATAACATAAATATATTATTATTGATTCAAATATTTTAATTTAATTTTATTTTTATTATATTTAAAAAAATACATGTATTGTACTGGTAATGCGTACGCGTTTGTTATTATCATTTTCTTTTCGAAACAAAGATGCCTCCTAGTTACTCTCGCCTAATGTTTCTGTTCAAATATCTGACACGCGGCAAGGTATTACGACACCACGTAACCTACCACCACCCCCAACAAGTACAGCGACAAAACCGAAACCCAAAAGGTAATAAAACCGACAATCATGTGAATAAAATGAAACCATTATTTATGTAGTAATTAATCAAACTTATCCGTTAATTAAAACCCCGATTTGTTTACAAATTTTCTCCATTCCATTCCCTCATCTTCTACATCACACAACACAAATAGCCCAATCCAAAACACACCAAACCGTTAATTAGGGTTTAGTTCGATTCGAAAAAACGATGATGGATGGAATAAGCAATGGAGGCATGTTGTATCACGAGGTACAGGAATCGAAGCTCTGTGCTGTTCATTGCATTAACACTGTTCTTCAAGGTCCGTTTTTCTCTGAATTCGACTTGGCTGCTCTCGCTTCCGATCTCGATTGTAGAGAGAGGCAGATGATGATGCTTCCTGCTCACTCAGGGGCTGGTGATTTGTTTTCTCATAATGTTTCTCTTGACGGTGATTTCAGCATCCAGGTTCCCTTTCTTTCTAATTATGTATTTTCATTATTATTATTATTATTATTATTATTATTTTGATGTATATTGAGGTTTTGTTTGAATCTGTTTAATAGAGGCTGATTATGGTTTAATTCGATTAAAGTGTGTGTTTAGTGTGCCAACTGCCAAAGAAACTTAATCTAGTATGTAAGGATTTAACTCATATATCCTTCAAAATTATGTCAGAGACGAGGATAAAGTAAGTGTAGTGCAGAAATGAGAATGTTGTTTTGGATGTGTGGTAAGACTAGAAAGGCGTGTTGAGGTAGCACCTGCAGTATAGAAGATGTTGAAAAATAAGCTTAGGTGGTTTGGATATGTAGAGAGAAAATTTTGAGATTCTATGGTAAGGAGAGTAAATTAGATGGAGAAAAGTTAAATAACCACAGGAAGAGGTAGACTTAGAAAGAGTATAAGAGAAGTTATGAAGAAAAATCTTGAGATTAACTATTTAGATAGAAACCTGTCTTTGATAGAGCATTATGGCGAAAGTTGATCCATGTAGCTGATTCCGCTCAGTGAGATAAGACTTGGTTTTTGTTGTTGTTGTTGTATCCTTTTAAAATCACGAGTTAAAGAATGCGGATGGATGACCTTGTTGATGGTGTGTAATTTTGTAAGTAACTATGCAAGTTCTCATTAAACTTTTTAGGAACCCTGATGGGTCCTTGAGAGCAGTTAGTTAAACTTAAACTTTTCTTAATTTTAAGGTGTTGTCAATTGCAGTGGAAAATAGAAGTTTTTTCAAATTCTGCTCGCGTGGTGCTAGAGCTATAGCACAACTATTGTGGCTATTTGACAAATTTTATTATATAAAAAGAATGTCCCTAGTTATATATGTGATGCGTGCCCCAATATTAATGAATTATTGAGGTGTGATGCAAATGATAGATAGGGCGTGTGGTTCCAACCTTCTGGGAATACACATTCTATAGTGATGCTTTTATATGCCTGTCCATTGGGTAAGGAAAACATTATCTGTGTCGCATTTCTTTTGTGTTGATAAATTAAAGTTAAGTATTGAAAACATGTCGACAACTAAAAATTTATGGTATGAAACTATTATCTTTTTCTTATTTTGAAACTTCCGTGTTGTTTGTTTGGGCTGTAATGAATGGAAATGGTCCGTAAGTTTTGTTTTTGTCGAGGAATTTTGTATTTTATTCTCTTTCTGTGCATGTGCATGGCTGATACAAACATGTCTCATTGTGTCGTTAGTGAGTGCTTTGATTTGGCTGGAGTTGAGCTGTAACGTCGTATACGTCATAGATGGTTTTTATGAAATTTGTATTTAGTGAGGAAATTAGTTAGTTACCCATGTGAGATATGCATACGTCATGGTTTTTAAGAGTTATGTATTTAGCGAGGGAACTAGTTAGCTATCCATGAAAGATACGGATCTCTTTTGTTTTCACGCATGCTTTGTAATTGGCACTGTTAAGCAAATAGTACATATGCATGCATTCATTGGAATTGAAACCAAATAATTATGTTTAATACAGGATATAGCTTGAGCAATGATTTATTGAAGCTTTGGCAGTAGCACTTCACACACACTGCCCGTCTTTTTAAATTTTACAGTGGGAATATCACGTCAATTAAATGATAACGTTTTATTAAGTCTGGTGTTGTATAGCCGTATCTCCTTTCTATTGTGTTGGTGAATTAAAGGCGAGTTTCTAAAACAGCTTAAATTCATGGCATGACTGAGTGTGATATATATTTTCTTTTATTTTGAAATTGTCTTGCTGTTTGGGCTGTTCAAATTTCAATTAAATCGAAAGAATTGGCAGGCTTTGTTTTTGAAAAATTGTTTTTGATTTTCTAGTGTATGCATATGGCTAATGGTTAATACTAATAAAGTCTGATTGTGGCATTAGTTTAAAAATATGTTTTGGTTTGACTAGAGTTCAGTTATAATGCCATATACTTCATAAATAGTTATGGTGGTTATAATATTTGTTTAGTAAGGGAACTGGTTAATTACCCATTTTGTTTTCACTCATGTTTTCCTTATAACCAAACATACCATGGGAAATCTCACAGTATTTTAAATAAATTGATTTAGGGAATTTGCAATATCTTCTTATCTATGAACAGATTGATATGATTAGGAAAATCTCTTTAATTCTAGAAATATGTAATCAGAACAACATAATTACTATTTCCTTAATTAGTATAGGAATTCTGTATATATTCCATGTAGCTTTCAATGTTTATAATATGAGAAATAATTCACTCATACATACCATTAAGGTCCCATTTGCTAAGCTTTTGAGAAAAGTATTTAAATATTGTGTTAAGTGATTTATATATTTTCTAAAGCAGAAGCTATATTGGTTTGGTTAGATTTATACAATTTTGTTTTTTTTTAAAAGGTTGTTATAATTTATAGAAGCTACTTTGGTAACTTTGTACTATAATCAAAATCGTGTTTTTTCTCTCAAATTCTATCATTATAATAAAATTTGTTAAGAGTCCTACATCGGACAATATATGGCCTGGACAATATATGGACAATACATCGGACAATATAAGTGGGGGTATTCTTCACCCTACAAGCCGGTTTTGTAGAGTTGAATTAGGTCTAACCACATTTCTTAACATAGTATCAGAGCCTGGTTTAAGATCCGTTGGGTCACTCCGCTATTAGGTCGCCCATGATTTAGTTCCACGCTTCAGACGTTCACCCTGGTCGTGAGAGGGGGTGTTAAGAGTCCCACATCGGACAATATATGACCTGAATATGTGCTTATAAGTGGGGGTAATTTTCATCCTACAAACCGGTTTTATAGGGTTGAGTTAGGCCTGTTGAATTAGGAGAGACTAAGAGACATTTAGGTTAAACCGTGTGTTTTGGAAGTACTACGGAGACTTTATTATATATAGAGAGATTACAACTAATGACACGATATACTCGATGTGAGACAATTCTACATACAAATATTCTTAACACTATTTATTAACAAATATCAACACTCCCCTCAAGCTGGAGCATATAAGTCAAATGCACCAAGCTTGTCACATATATAATTAATTCTGGAACTTCGCAGAGATTTTGTAAACACATATGCCAAATGATCATTAAAGTTGACAAAGCTTGTGACGATGTCGTCAGATTCAATCTTATCTCTGACAAAGTGACAGTCTATCTCAATATGTTTGGTCCTCTCATGGAAGACTGAATTTGAAACAATGTGCAATGCAGTTTGATTATCACATACAAGTGTCATTGGTCTTGCTTCTTCAATTTGAAGTTCTTTGAGCAACGATTTTAACCAAATGAGTTCACATGTTGTCATTGCCATGGTCCTATACTCTGCCTAGGCGCTTGATCTTGCAACTACATTTTGTTTCTTACTTTTTCTGGATATAAGGTTTTCTCCAACAATTACACAATATCCAGAGGTGGATCGTTTATCAATTTGTGACCATGTTCAATCAACATCGGAGTATCCAATTATCTGAGTATGTCCTTTATCTTCATACACTAAACTTTTTCCTGTAGCACATTTGATGTATCTTAGAATCCGAATAATTGCATCCATGTGTTTCTGACAAGGGGAATTCAAGAACTGGCTTACCACACTGACTGAAAAAGAAATGTCTGGACGAGTGACTGTGAGATAATTCAACTTTTCAACCAATCTCCTATACCTTCTCGAGTCTGATAGAAGCTTTCCCTGATTGGGTAGTAGTTTGACACTTGAATCCATAGGAGTATCAGTTGGTTTAGCGTTCAACAAACTTGTTTCTTCTAAAATATCCATAGCATATTTCTGCTGAGAAATCACCAAACCATCTTTAGACTGGGCTACCTCAATACCCAAGAAATACCGGAGTTTACCAAGATCTTTTGTCTGAAATTGATTAGAAAGATGTTGTTTCAACTGGAGTATTCCCTGCTCATCACTATCAGTTATGACAATATCATCTACATACACAATAAGATAAATACACCCTTGGGCTGAGTGACGATAAAAGACTGAATAGTCAGCTTTACTACGGACCATATCAAATTGTTGTACTACAGCGCTGAATATGTCAAACCAAGCTTTCGGAGATTGCTTAAGACCATAAAGAGACCTGTGTAGCCACAAACCATATTTGATGACTCTCCCGGAGCAACAAATCCAGGTGGTTGCTCCATATATACTTCCTCTTCAAGATCACCATGTAAAAATGCATTTTTGATGTCAAGTTGATGAAAAGACCAATGTCGAATGGCTGCAATGGTTAGAAGAAGTCTAACATATGCCATCTTGGCTACAGACGAGAATGTATCACTATAATTCAACCAAAAAATCTGAGTGTATCCTTTGGCTACCAAGCGAGCTTTAAATCGATCAATCTCACCATCTGGATCAACTTTCACTTTATAAAGCCAACAACAACCTACTAAAGATTTTCCAGGGGGTAGAGGAACCAGTTCCCATGTACCAGTGCTTTGAAGAGTACACATTTCATCAATCATTGCTTGTCTCCATTCAGGGTGAGATAATGTTTCACCTGAAGTGTTAGGAATAGAAACAGAAGACAAAGACAAACAAGTATACTGCAAAGGGGAAAGACGATGATAGCATAAATCATAATATGGAGAAGAATTTCATGTTTGACGTATATCTTTTCAAAGGACAATCGGAAGATCGGATTCAGGTTGCAGGATCGGATCCAGTGATGGTGAGAGCGTTGAAGGGTAATAACCTCAGGGACATGTACTACCTTAGGGACAGGTACGACCTCAGGGACAGGTACGACAAATGTTGGTTGACGACGCTGATATGTTTGAAGTGGACGAGAAGTCGGGGGGTCAACCGTAGAATTATCTAGTGGGTCAAATTCCCTAGAATGATGGGGGATAGTGACATATGGGACTTCCAGAAGAGGTGTGGGAGTACTCTCCTGAAGGAGTTCCGGAGTTACTTAGCTGGACTCGAAATATGGAACAGACTCGAAGAAGGTGACATCGGTCGATA